ACACACACACACACACACACGTACGTACGCATGTACGCACGCACGCACACACACACACACACATACACACACAAACGCATGCACACACACACGCACGCACGCGCGCACACACACACAGCGCACGCACGCACGCACGCACACACACACACACACAGCAAGCACAGGTTGATGTTAAGTTTCCCGACAGACATACGGACTAGAAAGGATTTACGGTTATCCCTACAAGTTCATCAATCACTCCACATCGGCAAAATAATTTTTCAATGAACCTTTGCACAGTAAAGTAGATTATCCACGTAAAACGTTCGGAATTTCAGACAAACGTTTTCCGGCTTCAACAATCGGAATTTGTCAGGCACGTACTCGCTGTTTCCAGTATAACTAGCTGAAATCATTAGCCTTCGTGTAAAGGTAAAAGTAAAGGTAAAAGTAAAGGTAAGGTGTAAAGGTAAAATACTATTGCCCAATGAGAAGTCTGGGGTAGACAGCAGACTTTATCCAATCACATGTAAAGTCAAATCCTACCTATACAGTGCTGAGATTAATGCTACTCTACTACGAGATGAATATAATGTCCTTAGGCAAATCTTCATCAAGGGTAATACAAGCTTATCCCAATTTTCTTCTTCGCTCCATTTATTACATTATTGATTAATACTACTCGCAAATGCCAATATATTGCACAAAACATTTCGACTTAGTAACAGTGATTGGCTATATTTCATAACAGCACATTGACTACAGTTGTAATCCAGAAATAGGAACATAGTAAAGATATATATTCTCGTTAGGAGAATTCACCATCTTTGTCTGGACACATTAAAAAATATGCAACCAAAAGGGCATGTATATAAAATGATCTCCTATATGATAATGAAGGGGATGGTATCAGCCTCCTTCCCAAATTGCGAGAAATAAACAACAGTGGTAATTTTACTACACAACTTGCAGGGTTTCTTATACATAAGAGGCACAGTGACGCACCGCCGAGTCAAATTTAACATCGCCATTGTGAAAATGTTCCTGTATTTACCCGCCGTTGTAAAAATAGTGTCAACCCAAAAATAAATAGATCGCCACGTGCTTCTGGCATATTTGTATTGCCATGTGCGTTTATTGAGTCATGTAACGCAGGGTCTACACTCCTACGGCACGCCTTTCAATCCATCATGTGCGTTTTTTTCCCAAACTGGCCATTACCTCCTTTGTTTAATTTTCTCTCAGAAAAAAACCCTGAAGCTGGTGAATAAAATTTGAAATATCGTAAAAATGCAGTTCCATTAAGTAGTAACAAATTCCTTCACATATAGTCCTTTCATTCAAACAATATCTCTGTACTGTGTGTGTGTGTGTGTGTGTGTGTGTGTGTGTGTGTGTGTGTGTGTGTGCGTGTGTGCGTGCGTTCGTGTGTACTGTGTATGCATTTTTTAAGTAAACAAACAAAAGTATAACATATTCTTGCAACCTGAACCATACGATATATATATATATATATATATATATATATGCGTCTTTTCCCATAGGCATACCCACCATCTGTTTATACACATCTTCGCACACATGACAATGTGGCAGTGTCTATAGTTTTTTATTGGTCGCTAATATCATCACTGGTGGCTCAGCCTTGGATCAATCGATAAATCATCCAAAATGAACTCTGGCCTATGGGCCCAGGAGCAATATGCACATCAACCTAATGGCGCATTTTAGCAAGTGTCGTGACGCATACACACATCGAGGTAATAAAATCTTATGCGACTTGCCACTGACCTTCTGCATAGGTGTTCCCCAAAAGTCGTTGAAGAAGAGGTTTGACAGAGGCGAGCTTGGCCGAATGTCTTTGTTATCCTTGATGGCGGAGACATCGTCGAAGACAAATCCACATCCAAGCGAGTTGTAGTAGCATAGCAGCGCAGTCGTGATAAGCACCAGTGAGTGAAAGATGGTTTTACGATCTCTACAATTGGTACTCATCTCTTTGTTATTGTTTGTCTCCCGCATGGCCTGTAACAGAAAGAAAATCCTCAGCGTACAATAATAACTACGGCGAGGCAATGGACGACTTTATTAAAGAATACTGAATGACTTGTTTGCATCAGTTAGAACTGAGCTGATTTGCATATTCAATTTCAATAAAAAAAAAAATTATAACTTAAACGAGCAATTCAACTTTTCCTGACGTTTACATCCATAGGGAGTGCAACCGCTTGATCTGTAGAAATGCAAGAAATTACCGTTTCTATCCCTACCCCAGTTTCTTTCATATTAAACGTTAGGTTTTATGTGTCTTCAGTTGCTTAATTGCCTTGTGGTTCCATATTAGGTTATTGTCAGAGTTTAAATAATTTATGAAAAAGCGAGTACAGTAACATCCCACTATCTTATACACTATCTTTGGTATACGTTGTTGAATGGCATATTCATTAGCCTCACTGAAGCTACATAAATATCCATGGTTCATAACACCACATCCTTCCACTTAAGTTGTAGACACTTAACTGGCAAGACTGTCACGGTTTTGAAATTGAGAGTGGTGCAAAATTAAACATGTATGCGCCATGGCAGAGTTTTTACAATGCTCTACTTTGCCCTAGAATGCCATAAGGTCATGAATAAGATAAATTTCAATTTTAGTATTGAATGAATTAATCACTGGATATAAATAGTGAGAGATATAAAAGTAATATATAGAAACTATCGTACAATATTTGTGCTTATAGGCCTAGAAAAATCATTTGTTAAAATAATGTGTCAACAATGATATTGTGTGAAAATTGACAGAGCTCTGCCTTTTTTAGGAACCAGTTTAAATTTTTTTGTCGTTAACAATTTGTCATAATTTATAACAATACCTCACGCTGCACGCATCAACATTATTAGATTTCTGAACAATAGGGGAACAGATAAAAATCTAAGAGCATTACAACACATGATGCAATGGGCTTAAATCATAATTTATCCCACATACAATTTCCTTATTACACATCAAAACACTGTCTTATTCACCTGATTTTCTTTGAGCTCATAGGAGAAATTTATTCATGTCGATGATCATTGAATTCTAAACCTTGTTAAAATAACCACACAAATAAAGATGAAATGATACAAAAAAATCCTTATTCTGAAGGGACATAGTACATACTGTGGCTAAAGCAGATTAAAACATACATAATCGGAACAATGCTACTCAATAATTATTCACTCAATGATAAAACAATTATAGGGAACAATAACAATAACAACAGCCCAATCCAGGGTATAATCAGAAAAAATACATGGTAAGGAAGAGTCCTTAGATATCACATATTAGTGTTATGGTACAAAAACCAGTGAAGCGGTGATGCCAAAATTTGACAGAGCTCTGCCACAGATGCTAAGGCTATATTTCAGTCCTTGGCCAGTAGATTAACTGTGCAGAACTTGGGATTTAGGTGTGTACCAGCACTACATTTCTGGTCTCTCTACTTGTGCGTTGATCCATGCCAGCGCATTCGTACATGCATTCGCTGGGTTCCGAATGAAACAAGATTGATTTTATACAGGCTGTAGCTTTCGATGGTTATAAAAAGCAAGGGAATGTCCGAATTTGATCATTTTAACTCAACGCATCAATTAACAGGAAGTTGTTGCGTATAACGACACTGTCTACCTGAACAATTCGGGTTTTTGTGTGTTATTTGGAGGTGCTGGGGCTGGATACCATTTTAAATCTAAAAAATTAACAGCAATAATGATTTATAGAAATTATTGAAGGCAATTGCTGACTGGATAGTTTTGATTGGTAAGCCACATCAGGTATGCAGGCTGTATGTTTCCAACCCCTGCTGTAGTGGGTATAGTCCAATGGCAAGTAATTCATATACCCTGCATGTATGATGATTCATAGCTCTTCCATATATATTTGCTCATCATTTACTGTAAAGGCACTGGTGCTTATAATATATACACAAGTGCAGAAGCCATCTTGGCATCTTGGGTAGAGACATATATAGATCATATTTGCCATAAATGCCATATAACTGGTTCAATCATCCCTCACTGCTACGTATTTGTTATCATGTATGATGTAACTGCACTGGCATTGTAACACAAAGTCTTGTTAGCTGTCACCATCACATTTTAAATTAAGCACTTACCACATAAGTTATATATCTTCTGATAATAAGCTTAAAGTATGCATGGGCACAAGTGTGTTACACTATACTATTCATATTGTATCTCGCCATGCCATGACTGTGAAACTTGTACTAGTAATTACGGTAGATGTGCATGTACTATGCAGTAATCATACTCAATGTAAGACTAGGATGTGACTCATTAGAATACAGAGTAGCACATAACCTACAACACGGCTGTTGAGTGTTGACATACTATGATAGTATGACGTTTGTATGTTGAAACAACGATTAAGTGTTGTCAATGTAAGTGTTAAATCTGAGTCTATGATGGGACCCCCAAACACGGCCAGCCAAACTTGGTCATGAAAAGGGTCATTTCTAAGAATTTGAGAGTTTAGTAAATGTACTGACACATGGAAGCTAACTCCGTTCCTATGGCCATGCCATAGTCTATGGGACGATTTATAAACACCAAGTGTCACTAGTCAGAACGATACGATTCGCAGATGAGATGGTTATGAAAACGACAGAAAATCTTGGGAAATGCCTATCGCACATATATGAAAATGACGTGCAAAACTATCTCACCTACAAAAGTAAGAATGTAATTCTATTTACACTGAGTGGAGAAACTAGATGTGGAAAATGTGATAACTTGCAAACCAAACAGTCACTCACTCAGTGTCACTCAGTGGAAATCGAACATTCATTGCATTTGCAAATAGAAATACTAGAAAAGAGGTTCCGATGAGGAAACCAGCGACAAAAATTTGTTATCTTACCAACAGCTACTGATGACGGTTCCAAGGCAAATCCAAACGCGTTAAACGCATATTATCCTATCAAATTCGATTGACGAAAATACCAACTCTTCTCCAAATACGATGTGCATCATACGCTCCGACTTCTCAGAAAATTCGACTGACATCTTGCATTCGGTTTTCGTAAAACCCGGAATTGACGTCACAGCGCAATAGCGGATGCTCCATCTCTTCTGATTAATTTATATATTCATTTATTCATTCATTATCTATATCATTATTCACCTAATTATTTATGTATCAAGATATATAATAACGTATATTGTCTTTAATTTCCCAACCCGTAGTTTCATAATATTGCAGACAAGAAAAGTGATAAAAACCTGGGATAGCGATCGAGTGCACATGCACGTATTCATCAGTGCACAATTCTGTTTTCAACGACAAGTTATAAAAGTAGATAATCATTCAGTCCAATTTATAGGTGTAAAAATAATGTGTGTATATTTTTATAATGGATATACTCAACGACCACTAGCTGTATGTAAATACGTGTTCTTGTCACGTGATGGATAGACGGATGGATGGATGGATGGATGGATGGATGGATGGATGGATGGATCAATGGATGTATAGATGGATGGATGGATAGGGATGGTATTGGATGGATGGATGGATGGATGGATGGATGGAGTGGATTAGAATGGATGGATGGATGGATGGGTGGATGGATGATGGGATGGATGGATGGATAGATGGATAGAGTGGATGGATGGATGGAATGGATGGATGGATGGATGGATGGATGGATGGATGGAATGGATGGATTGGAATGGATGGATGGATGGATGGATGGATGGATGGAAGGATGGATAGAATGGATGGATGAATGGATTGGATGGATGAATGGATGGATGAATTGAATGGATGGAAGATGGATGGATGGAGTGAATAGATGGAAGATGGATGGATAGGATGGGATGAATGGATGGATGGATGGATGGTTTTGCAATGGATGGATGGATGGATGGATGGATGGAGTGGATGGCTGGATGGATGGATGGATGGATGGATGGAATTGGATGGATGGATGGATGGATGGATGGATGGATGGATGGATGGATGGATGATGGATGGATGGATGGATGGATGGATGGATGGTATGATGGATGGATGGATGGATGGAGGATGGATGGATGGTGGATTGGATCAAATGGATGTATAGATGGATGAATGGATCAATGTATATATAGATGAAAAGGTGGTTGGTTGAATTGATAAATGATTTGGTTGGAGAGATAAGTGGGTAGGTGGGTGAATAGGTGGATTAATGTATGGATGGGTTCAGCCTTTCAGGAATTAATGAATAGATGGATGGATGGGTTCAGACTTAAAAGATAGACCGAGAGACAAACGGTTGACAGAATGTTGTACGTATGAGGGGGCAGATGGATGGATTGGTAGATGGGTAGAAAGGGTCATAAATATTAATAACCGTTATTGTATTTAGAGATGTGCACATCTTTTAAGTCTGACCACCTCTCGCAAAAACTGATATTCAAACCAATTAAATTATCAACACTAATAAGCAAGCAGGTCTCAAAACTCTCTCTCTCTCTCTCTC